AAGTTTGAAAATAAATAGCCTATTAAGTCTAAATATTTAAGTATTTGGCGCTGTGATGAACATCATGGCAAATACACAAATCTGAATGGCTGTTTAAATCATTTAAACACCTTTCAGAAACAGAAAGTAGTGCAGCTGCTTTGTTTACAGGGTTTCCGGGGTAACGGCTACATTTAAATTAATTATTATTATTATTATTTTCTGCAGTTTAGCGCCATCTGCTGTCAGAGAGTGAAAGTGCGCTTTCATCCAGAGCGTCTCTCACATGTTCCGCCATGTGCTTCTCGTCCAGCTGATTTACATCAGAGTGCGCATGCGTCTTTCACGCAGCATACAGCGGTGTTGTGACCAGTTGATGGGAAAAGTATTCTTAAAATGCATTCAAAATTCTGAATAATTTATAATATATAATTATTCACGGTATTTAGAAGTGCCCACAATAACAATATCGTGCATATTCATTACCGTGATATATCGCATTATCGAATACCGGCACAAGTCTAAATGTAAGTCATCTTGAGGCCCCTAGGAAGTCTGCTGGGTCCCCCTTGCAGGCCCCACTGCCTTATAGGGAGGTGGTAACCGTTGTTTGGTTTATTCAAGCTTTGAGTTACATTTCCCACAGTCATGTGCTGTTCTCATCCTTTATTCTTATTTTACATCTTGTCTTTTTACAAAGGGTTTCGGTGTTTTGGCCTTGTGTACCAGTGTGTCAGAATTTCTGTTCAGAGTCACAACACACACACACACACATCCCGCAGTATCAGCCTTATTCTTGGCAGTACATATAGTAAGCCCTCTGTTGGTGCTGTTCAGCCCAGCATAAAAAGAGGAGAGGGAATAAAGGGCCACAGCAGCAGGAATGTACTGAATTTGACCAACTAACAAGCGAGCTCTTGATAGAGTAGCATGGCGTGCAAAAACAGACACATGTTTGCCTTCACTTTACATGATTGTTAGTTGTTTAGAGAAGTGTGTGTGGATGAGCTTTTGTCAGGTATTTGAACTGTGGTCATTAGTTTCTAATCTGGCTCGTTGAAGTAACATGCAAATAAGGGAAGTCGTGGCCTAACGGGGGAAGTCGTGGCCTAATGGTTAGAAAGTCGGACTCGTAACCCAAAAGGTTGCGAGTTCGAGTCTCTGGTCCGGCAGGAATTGTAGGTGGGGGGAGTGAATAACCAGCGCTCTCTTCCACCTTCAATACCACGACTGAGGTGCCCTTGAGCAAGGCACCAAACCCCCAACTGCTCCCCGGGCGCCGCAGCATAAATGGCTGCCCACTGCTCCGGGTGTGTGTTCACGGTGTGTGTGTGTTCACTGCTGTGTGTGTGCGCACTTAGGATGGGTTAAATGCAGAGCAGTAATTCCTAGTATGGGTAACCATACTTGGCCACATGTCACTTCACTTCACTTCAAATGCTTGAATTTCATTGGCCTTCTCAATTTTTTGGCAAGCTGTTATTTGCAATTGCAGCATAGCAGTGATTGTATAACCTTGTTTGTTGTAAATCTGTCAGTGCAACCATGCAGTGTCTAGTAGTGCTTGACCCATCTGTATTTTTCATTGTCACCAGCCACCCTGATTTCTACAAATCAGTCAGATATAATGTCATTATGCAAAAAAAGACAAATACCAGTTGACCTGTAATTATTTTTATTTTATAAGCCATAACCAATAAATGGTGACATTAGCTCCTAAAAGGGAAGCACACTTCAAGAGAGAGTGCTCCGTAACAGGATGATCATCCAAAAGTGAAAATTTACTAATCATTTATTCACCCTCATGTTGTTTCACACCTGTATGGCTTGCTCTCTTCTATGGAACATAAAAAGATCATTTGAGAAAAGCCTCAGAGTTTTCTATAAAATGGATGTCAGTGGTCACGAAAATGGTTCTTCAAAATATTGACTTTTGTGTTCTGCAGTAAAAAGAAAGCCATGCAGGTTTGGGATAATGAGTGGGTAAATAAATAATGAAATTTTTTTTCTTAGCTATAATCTATCACTGTTGCTAAAATGGGCAGAAACAAATAAATATCCAATATAAGGAGATTGCAATAACTTTACCAACATCACCAAATAGGTCAATAACAGATATGGGGCCTATCTATATTGTGCCTCCCTTGATGCAGTAGCCTGTCCAGTATGTAACTGCGTTTTGTCTAATTCTTACTCTTCCTTTCTCTTTCAGCCTTTTTTCAGACTGCACAATTTGCGAAAGCTGGGCCTCAGTGACAATGAGATTCAAAAATTACCACCCGACATTGCCAATTTCACGCACCTGGTGGAGATGGACATCTCCAGAAATGGTATGTAAAACTCTCTTAAATGTGCCCTGCTGCTGAAAAATAAAGCTGCTTTTAAACTGCACCCATCTAGAGATATTTACACACACTTTCCTACACATCCTGTGTGGCACTTGAAAGTTTCCTTACACAGTGCACTGGAATGTTTTCTTTGAACCATGTCTATTTAAGAAGTGTACATCAATTTCAACACCCAATTGTCTTCTCATGTGCCTCACACAGCCCGAGGCACATTCACTGTTAGTCTCAGGATTGATTGTGGGAATGCTGAACATGTTGTTCTGTATTTAGACTACGCAGTGTTTTATTCTGCAACTCGGCAAATGAAGTGACTCTCACTGGGTCCTGAATGTGTGGCTCGGATCCCATATAACTCAGGGGAAGATACATGCGCACTTACAGAAAACTCTCACCACAGTCAAATCACCCTCTCCTCCCGTTCCTCCAGGCCATCTGGTAGCCATTATTAAACAGCCTGAAAAAGTGCTCAGTTTGTCGTGACACTCCTCCAGTATATCTTGCTGACTGTGCCTTTCTCTCTCAGATATTTCTGAGATTCCCGAAAACATTAAATTCTGTCAGGCCTTGGAGATTGCAGACTTCAGCGGAAACCCCTTGTCCAGGTTAGTGTGTTGGAAGAACCCCCAAATCCACCCAAAGCTCTGCCTCATACTAAATGACACTTTCTTGATTATGAAAGGTGTAGAAAGGTTGGGAAGGGAGAAGAAAGACTGACACTAAAAAGGGTTTACAAATGATTATATGTTCTGTTAAAATGCTGTAATGTTATTTTTATAGCAGGTGAGAATGTACCAGACCCTTTGTTTGGGTCTGTCAGTGCAGTGCAGTCAGTACAATGGAAAAGGCAGTCAGTACCTTTTCCATTGTGCGTCTCATTTTCCTTTTGTCACTGTCGGTCTCAGGTTGCCTGATGGCTTCACACAGCTCAGAGGACTGGCTCACCTATCACTCAATGACGTGTCGCTGCAGTCTCTACCCAATGACATTGGAAAGTAAGTCTATATGAACACGTTCTATTCCAGGTTTTTTTTTTTATTATTAGTTTTTTTAATAAAAATATGTGTAAAAAAAAAATTTGTCCCTCGCACAAGAAAATGTATTATGTAAAAATGTAATGATTTTTACACGTTTTCATTTAGTCACAATGAAATGGATGTAGCGACAGGTCTTCTCTTCTGTATTGTGATGTACACGCGAGTGTAAAAGATTATCAAAAAGAAAAAACTGAAGGACGGTGACTTTGTTTAGTCTATCGGTTGTCCAAGAGTCCAAGAGAATTCCATCGTTTTCATTTTCGACAGTTTGATTAAACATTACGAGGTCAAACTTTTGATGAACCTATGCATGGATGAGTCATTCACAATAAAGTCTGTAACGTGCTTTCAGAAAATAGGCAGGGTTAATATTTATTTCAAGTTGAGTTTAAAATTATAGATATAAAAAGCAAGCATCATAATATGTGTCTGTTATATCAGTCATTTATATGATACTATATGCGTGTTAATGTAGTATAACCTCAAAAAGCAACCCTTAATTTTATGAAACATGTAATCAAAGTTATGGATAAAATCAAAGGGGAATACCTGTGCATATTATTTTAGAATATCTAAATGTCTTTTTATCATTTTCATCATCACTTTTGTAATTAGCACACAAAGCAGGCATCCCATTCACATACAGACACACACACTGTCTCTTTCCATTTCAAACACACACATTGACTTTGGCCACTGTTGATGTTGTGCAGATGGGGGAGCCCCTTACTCTTCCAAACTGAGCAACACACTCACCATCTGACACTCAGTCTTGGCTCTTTTCCTTTTTTTCTCCTCTCAGCTTGTCAAACCTGGTGACTCTAGAGCTGAGGGAGAATCTACTGAAATCTTTGCCCTCGTGAGTATTTTCCCATCAAACTGCAGTTATTAAATCCACAGTGTTCACCCTAAAACATGGATGCAAATAACATTAAATGTGAAATCTGTCTCGATCATCCTCTAGCTCTCTTTCCTTCCTGGTTAAACTGGAACAGCTGGATCTGGGAAGCAATGTACTGGAAGTTTTGGTAAGAAGCAGACATTTTTTTGGTCCTGAGAATAATTTAGATGTTTTAGTTATTAGATTATGCACACACATGCATGCAATGTTTTCAGGTTTATTTAGAGCTTGTTATTTCTGTTTGCCCCAGTGGATCTCTGATTATCATTTCCTTTACTGAACCAACACCTGAGCGCCTGCTGATTAATTTATCATTTAATATAGTTTTATTTTTTTTTATTAATATTTGCCTCATGTCATATTTCTCTTTTTCCATGTCCTGTCTTTAATCTGCTTTCTTTTTATTTCTTCTTTTCAGCCTGACACACTTGGGGCACTGCCCAATCTTCGTGAGCTTTGGTTGGACAGAAACCAGCTCTCCTCACTACCTCCTGTGAGTACAGACAGCTTCTGATTAGCTCATTATCATACTGGTCATCTGTCTTGATTGTTTTAAATATCTAGTTCAAATTCTTGCGGATGTTGTCCTTTTCAGACATTGTTTACCTTCAGCACAGCTGAATGCATGTGCCATGTGCCTGTTCTGGTGATAACTGGAGTGGAAACTAGAGTGCCTTAATTCACTTTCAGCTGACTGAAAGTTGACCTCTGTGTTTAACAGGAGCTGGGGAACCTGCGGCAGCTGGTTTGCTTGGACGTGTCAGAGAACCGTCTATCAGAGCTTCCCACAGAGATCAGTGGCCTTATCGCCCTCACAGACCTGCTGCTCTCGGAGAACCTCCTGGAAGTCTTGCCGGACAGCATTGGTGAAACTCTATATCCCTCTTACAAACATCAATA